TGGGCGGTCCTCCTGGAAGCTCGTCTGGGAAGACGTCAACGAACTCGCGAACGATAAGGACATCATGAGGCGTCCGCGCTTTCTGAGAATCCTCAACAAGGCTTACCAGGTAACCCTGGCAGTTGCCTCGTCGCAAAAGCTTAGTGGCTTTCGCCATCAAAACAACCTGAGGCAGTGAACGGTTCTTGGAGCCGAAGAAAGTAATCGACTCGTCTCCCGGAAGATAGAGAGTAATCTCCCGGTCATGACATCTGATATCAGCATGATAGAAAGAAAGCCAATCCATCCCGAGAATAAGATCGAAATCCTTCATCTCGAGAACAAACGCATCGGCAGTCAATACTCGACCACCGATGGAAAGGCTAAGGTCTGAGGCTTTAGCTGAGGTCACTATCTTTCGTCCCGAGGCTAGACTCACCTCGAGAGGATCGACAGCTGTAACTGCATGAACTCCGATGGCGTCGAGACACCGTCGATAAATAAAGGTGTGCGTTGCTCCGGTATCGAATAACGCAAACACAGGAACATCATTAAGAACGATCATCCCGGACATGGTACCTGGTTGCTGTGCTACCTCCGCCTGATCGACCGCGTAGACCCTGGCCTGCTGCCTGCCTCTCTGCTGCTGCTGCTGCTGCGGTCTCTGTGCCTGCTGAGGCTGCTGCTGAAGCTTCTTCGGGCATCGACTCGCAAAGTGTCCCGGCTCCTGGCAGAAGTAGCAAATGTCCTGTCCAGCACGACACTCTCCCCTGTGAAGTCGACCACAAGTCGGACATGGTGGAATCTCCTGCAGCCTCCGTCGGGTCCTCTTGTCTGCCGGGGCACCCTTCCCTTTCCTTTTGTTATTCTTTAGCGGCTGGGCAGGTGGTAGAGCTGGTGGAACTGTGACTGGCTGAGCTGGGACAGATGGCTGAGCACGATCACGAACGGCCTCCCTCCTAATGCTAGCGTCAACCTCCTGGGCGATAGAGACGGCTCGTGCATACGTCTGAGTCCCATGTCCCACAATGTTATGACGGACTGCTGGGTAAAGTCCATCAATGAACCGCTGAGCTCTCTGGGCCTCCGTGCGAACAAGATCCGGTGTGAAACCTGCAAGTCTGATGAACTCGCGCTCGTACTCATCGACAGTACGAGTGCCCTGCTGAAGCGCTAAAAACTGGCGCTCCATCTCTGCCCGATAGTACGAAGGGTAGTACTTGTCGCGGACTAG